GCTATAGGCGCCGAGCCTAGTTTTTCAATTTTTAATAGAGATAAGAGTCTCACTCTTGCTCAGGCTGGTCTCAAACTCCTCAGCTCAGGTGATTTGGCCTCCCAGAGTGCTAGGATTAGAGATGTGAGCCACTGCACCCAGCCTGGCAAAAATATTTTTAACACATTGTGGATTAGTATCCACTAATCAGGATGAAAAGAAACTGTGAAAACTTGATAGTAAACATCCAACAATTGTGGAAAAGGTGGCAAAGGACTTACACAGAGGCTAACAGTGGAGGCCCCAGAAAGGCTATAAACACACACTGTTCCAGTTAAAATCTAGTCCCCTGCCTCCCCTCCTTCCTTTCATTTTCTTGGCATGTGACACTAAGATGCCAGGTTGCGTGGCTATTCACTGAGCTGTTCTATCTTCTTCACTGCTGTGTCCCGAGCAACTTAACACAGCTCTGGCACATGTAGGCATTCAGTAAATATTTGATTTTCAGTGTGAAAGGAACTTCTGACCTCTGAGTGAATTATTTTGAATACAATATTGGCAGTGAAAGTATGATTCTACAGGGTTCTGATGCAATTTTTATTTCTTACAGAATGCCAATTCCTGTCCAGTTGATCGAACTCTATTTAAATGTATTTGCATTCGAGCTTACTTTGGTGGTAAAGTCTTGAAGAAGGTAAGTGTAGACGCTACAGTGTAGGGCCCAGCCATGCGTGTCCCTGCCTCATGGGAAGGAGATACTTTTAGAGGTTGTTTGCTCTCCTAAAATGAGTGAGTGTTGGCTCAGTGTTCTGTAAAAAAATCAACCTGTGGGCGTGAAGCCTGGGACTCAGGTGGCTGCCCTGTCCAGTGGCTGTGAGTTGTGTGCAAGTCTAGGTGGTGGAGGTGTTGGTGAACCTAAGATGTCCCCTGGGCTCTGCCCCAGCCGCTGGGAGCCTCTCCCTGGCCCATCTGCTCAGAATTCCTGAGCTGCAGCAGTATCAGGAGAGGAAAAGGTCAGAGGGGAGAGGAAGCTGGTTTTCTTGGGGCCAGATTTCAGGAAATACTAGGCAAAATTATTTACCATCAGGGTGGAGGTAGGAAGGGGTTTCCTTTTGGTCTGTGTGTTTGCATCCGCTTCCCTGCATTTTAGGGAATTGAAAGGCTTCCATGGTCTGTCCATGAATGGCCCTGGGAAGACCTTGTCGGGGTGCACCTGAGACCTCAGGGCCATAAAGGCTGGCTGAGACGATGTGGCTTCAGGTCCTCCTTTTTTGGTTAGTGTACCTGAAGCCAGGTTGCCAGAGACTTTGCTGTCTGTGGGAGCTGTAACTTGTGCCACCAGCAGCAGCTTTGGTCCCCATTGCCTCCCTTTGTGTGCCCTTGTAACTGCCTGGGTGGCTTGTTGGCACTTTCAAAAGCATGTCTGCAGTGTAAGTGGTCTTCATGTTGGGAGTGGCCACAGAGACGGTGTGCAGGTCCTGAGCTCTTCCTGGTGGAGGGAGACCCAGGTGAGCTGTGCAGGCAGGAGGGGCAGGTCCTCTATGACAAGCTGGTGCTGTTGGGACCTGAGAATGGCTCCAGGTACTGCAGGAAGGGCTGGCTGGCAGGAGGGCCTGGTCCCCACCTGACCCTCCAGGAAGGGCCAGGTGCTGGGGGAGGAGGGGCTGCATTCTGGGGAGAGCCTGGGTGAGGAGATGGGGGACCTGTCCACATACCTTTCATATTTTAAGACGAATAACTAAAGTGAGGTGGTGCCTGAGAGTTGCTGTAAGGTTGGATGTGTCACCACTGTCACTGTCTCAAGGCGAGCCTGTGACAGTTCCCCTAATTGCTGTGCATCTAAGCATTCGTTTTTGACAGGCATGTTTCTGAGTCTTTGCTGAATTACATGGCTCTGAGGTTGGAGACATCCTCATGAGCACTGCTCACCGGCTCCCTGCATGCGGGCCTGTCTGCGGGGCACTCTCGGCATGGGGATGTGCTCCCTCTAGCGCCCACTTGGTCCCCACCTGCTTGATTATTCTGCTTCGTGACCACATGGCCTCCCCACTCCTTTCCATGAGTCATAGCTTTGTTTTCTGCTGAGTCATCCTTCACTCTTAGACGACTGCCCTGGTAGAATGTGACCTCTCATTTGCATATTGACCCAGAGACACAGGGCTATGGAGCTCATGTAGATCCTGGGCCCGCAGACCTGCTCTGGATCAACCAGCATTATGCCAGCATTCTAGGAGTTCACCTCTTAGATTTGGGGTTCTCTTTGGTGTATAGCAACAGTTCTGTCTCTAGATTCCAGTGGAGAACAGCAGAGCCCAAGAGGAAGAAGAGGAGGACCCAACCTTCTGTGAGGTGTGTGGCAGGAGCAACCATGAGGACCGGCTCCTGCTCTGTGATGGCTGTGACTCGGGGTAAGAGGCATCGGCTGCATACAGGCGGGCAGGGCCACAGGACATGCAGTCTCTTCTATACCTCACGGTGATGTTGGAGTCCTGGCATTGGGAGCTGAGCTGCCTTGCCCTAAAGGCTCTTCTCATCATTGCCATTTATGCCTGTGCCTTTTTCCAAAAAAATATTCTAAGGCTTCTCACAGAGATGCACATAACGCACCCAGACGAAGAGAGGGAAAGGAGAGGAGGAAGCCCAGGGGTGGGGGGGCAGTGCTGCCAGAGAGGAGGCTCTGTGCCTACACTGTCATCTTTCTTTTTTTTTTTTTTTTTTGAGACAGAGCCTCAAGCTGTC